TCTGTTTACCACTTAAGTCTTTGCCTAGGAGGCCTTCTACAAGACAGCAGCCTGATGCATTTAATATCTACCCAAGATGAGTATTTTTATCGAGACACCATCTCTAGCCTTAACTCAACCAAGAGCCCTAAGGCAGGAGGTGTTTTATGTTGGAGTTTGCAACTTCTAGCCTTTGCCTAAAGAGGCATATCCTACAAGGTAGCAGGACATGATGCAGATTGTACTTGCTGAATGATGTGAAAATAATAACTTAATGATGTGAAAATAAAAACTTGCTGAATGATGTGAAAATAAAAAAATAATGCGAAGAAAAAAAAAAAGGCTTGGAACATAAAATTTTTTAATTTACATGTAGCTCTTCCTGATCACTTAGGGATCTAAATTTTTTTTTATAGATTCCCGAAGTTTGGTAGAACCGGAAAATGTACTGCGGCTTTTTTTTTTTTTAAATTTTGTGTCACCCAAATATACATTTATATATATATATATATATATATATATATATATATATATATATATATATATATATATATATATATATATATATATATATATATATATATATATATATATATATATATATATATATATATATATATATATATATATATATATATATATATATATATATATATATATATATATGTCTTGCATGGTAGTCAAAAGGTTTTTCCCATTAACTGTAGTTTTAAAGAGAGTGCTAAAAAACCAGACCAGAAATAGTTAAAAAACTTAAATAACTTTTTTTTTTTAAATTATAGACTACCTGCCCTAACCAAAACTTTAGTTGACGTAGCAGCACTCCCTTGCGAATCATACTATAAGAAGGCGATGTAGCAACACTCCATTGCGAGTTAGGCTATAAGATAGTAGCATAGTAGTATATATAGTAGTATATAATAGTACATAATAGTAGCATAAATATAAGATGTAGAAACACTTCAATGTAGCAGCAGGCTATAAGATAGTCGGCGTAACAACACTCTGCGCATGTCTTTAAATTATACTTTAAAAACAACAATAAAAACACCATTAATTAAAAAAAACTTTCTAGTCATTATTATTGCGGTTTTTTTAAAAAGCAATAAAATTTAATGTACTTCCGCATTAATTTAATTGCTTTGACATTTGACAACAAAAAAATGTTGCTTAATTTTCGAGGTAACAAAATTGTAGTCGAAAGAGAATTTTTTTACATTGAAAGTCTCTTTCACCTACACTATAAGGATACATATATATATATATATATATATATATATATATATATATATATATATATATATATATATATATATATATTAGACAGCTTCATTTTGAGGTCATAATAAAATTTAAAGTAACATGGAGTCTTATCTGCTGACTGACCCATATTTTATTAGGAGAACTTTTTTTATTTTGAATTTTGACCACTTTTAGGGGTTGCTCAAGTGCCTTAAAATTCTTTTTTCAGACTTTTTTTTACTCTTTTTAAACCCATTTTCCCCATGTTTGAGCAAGAACTCAAAAAAAATTAATTTTTTTTTCTTTCCAGAGTTTCTTCTAAGTTAGAAATTTTTATTTATTTGGAATAATTTGTCTGAATTTACCTACAAAAAAGCAAATTTAGACAGATTTTTACCAAATTTTGCGCTTCACATAAATTTAAACAATTTTTTGTATTTGCTTAAACATTTTAACAAAAACGATATTTAATTTTGATTTAAAAAATGCAGGAAATAAATATTGATTACTTTCATGATATACTTACTCCATATACATATTACAGCTATTAACTAAAAATTTATTCATGTCAGGAAAAAGTAAGAAAAAAGTTGAAACATTTTTTGGTAGGGGAATCCAGGTCATCTTTACCAAAAGACAGGTTTTCCACAGAGCAAGAGGTTTTGCAATACTTCTTGCATTTGAAGGAGAAACACATAAAACAAAAAGATAATAGAATTATCCACTGTCCATTGATAAAAAACTTTGAAATCAGTTGCCATAATGAAAAACATATTTGCTGCACTCTTTCAAAGTTAATTGCAATTTGAATAAAGGGTGGATTCGAGATTTTGCAATTACAAACAATTAGGAAAGTATATGTTCTTCTTTTATTTATATATATTATTACTTATTAGAGAAAAATATTAATATAACTAATGTCTGCCATTAAATAAGCGAATAAACAGAAATAGATGTGTTGTAAAATATACCGAACCTAAGAATCACATTTTTTAGTTTAAAGAAGCTGATACAAACCTGGAAACTGTTAAAAAAACAAAGCAAGCCAAACATTATCAGAGATTGAAAAAAGGAGGAAGTTTTTAACTTAGATGAAAAGAATCTTTTGGATTGCATCTGAGCTCAATACTTTGGTTGCAATCATTAAAGCTGATAGGAAAAAAAACGATCAAGACAAGACTGAAGATATTGCATTTTTATTGGACCAATTAGGAGATAAAAAAACTAGAATAGTCGGAATCAAAACACTTTTACTCTGTAAACAGGAGTTTATCCAAGTTTAAAATGAAACCAAATTTGCACTAAACCATGTCAGAGGGTGAATTAAGCTTCAAGGAAGATTGAGATAATGATGACTTTCCATACCCAGATCCAGAGTTCAAGGATACCCAGATCCATGAATTCAAGGAAGATGAAGATTTAAAGAGTTAAAGAAAAAAGTCGAAAAATAATTTATTTATACTTTATTTATTTATATTTAGTTGTACTTCCTAATACTGTTTAAATTGCTAATACTGTTATACTTCCAAAAGATATTCTCAAGAAAACTGCTGTTGGGGAAGGAATAAGTCATAGGCAGCATGCTTTCATGGTTAATAACATAATTGCTAAATCGAGTGGAAATATAGCTGAATTTAAACGTTCAACCTCTACAGCATTACAAGCAGCAGATAAGGTCATTCATAATGAATCAAAAAGGATCAAGGATAATTTAAGAAATTTCAGAAAAATCAATAAGAACGTTTTAGTTCATGTCCATTTTGATGGAAAAGTATGTCATGAATATACTGATGGGAAAAAATTGGAAAAAGATCAACTAGCAATATTAATAAACAGTAACAAGGAAACGTACTTTTTGGGAATTCCACCAATTTCTTCTGGAACTGGTGAAAATCAAAAAAATGCAATCTTAAATAGCTTTAACCTTAAAAACAATATACAAGCTGTTACATTTGATGCCATCAACACAGGAAACAAAAATGGATCTTTACTGGTAAATAAAGTTATTCAGCAACCAGTTCTATCTATTGCATGTCAACATTATGTCAATCAGCTACACATAACATATTTCTGGAAAAATTATCAAAGTAGCATTACTTCTTCACCAGATAATCTGCTGTTTAAAACTTAAAATCAGCATGAAATGATATTGACGCCAGGTAGGGTTTTACATAATTAGCTACCATTTTGTGAAACATTATTTTTTCCTTATATTTTTTCCTTTTCCAATTTTTAGTTCTTTGAATTTTTTTTTTACATTTTGAATAAATTTTTTTTTGAGAAGATTGACTATTATAAAGGAAACATGGCTTGGTCATCAAAAGCATGAAAGTGTAAGGTTCTGCAGAAATATTATCACCAGTAGGTCTCTAAAAAAGGTAGCTCGATAACTAGATATCTGAATTTATAGTTATCTATGTAGTATGTACTATTATGTAGTAATTTATTATAAATTTTTCTTTTTTAATTCTATTATTTTATATTCAAAATATAAATAAGTTTATTGTATTATACCTAAATACTTATGATTTGATTCATTTTTAGGATGGGGCTACAAGGAAAGACTACATTGAGCTAGCAGAGCTTACACTTATGGTGTTTTCTGAGGACAGGTACAAATTTCATACTCCCGGAGTAGTCCACCATGCCCGCTTTATGGCAAAAGGTAAGGAATTGTAGGTTCATGATAAGAAAAAGTTCAAATTGTAGCAAAATTGTAGCTTGAAAGCATAAGTAAGGAGTTTGTTGTACATTATCAAATATAAGGCTTTTTAACAAATTGAAAAAAAAAACTTTTTTTTTTTTAGGTATCTACTACCTAAACAAACTCCAGCTTATGATGGATGCTATACCTAAACGGCTGAAGCATGAAATTACTGAAGTGGCAACTTTTGTTTTCTATACTACCTGGTTCAAAGCTGAACTATCCGCTGCGGCTCTTTGTCAGGTAGGTACCAACTTAACAAGTACAATATATATAATATGTATATATATATATATATATATATATATATATATATATATATATATATATATATATCTATGTGTGTGTGTGTGTGTGTGTGTGTGTGTGTGTGTGTGTGTGTGTGTGTGTGTGTCTATATATATATATATATATATATATATATATATATATATATGTATTTATAAATTAAAAAGTTCATCAGGCTTCCTGATGTTCTTTAAGAACATTGAGCACTCTACTTGTAGAATATGATGTGCAAAAATCTTGTTGAGTCTATGCCTAGAAGAGTTCTTAGTTGTATTAAAGCAAAAGGCGGATACACAAAATATTGATTGGTTTTTAAATTACGCCTTATAATGTATCGTGCGTCTAAATTTATGAATAAATTTTTTTGTCTAATTTTTTTAATACCATGTAGTTGTACCTAATTATTACTTAGTATTTCTTTTTTTTTTTTAAACTTTTTTTAAATTTTGTATTCTGTATGTATTTATCTAATAAATAGAAAAAAAACTAAACCGAAATCTTTTTTCGTCATTGTTTTATTAATAAAAAACTAAAAATTTCTATTCTCAAATATGAGTGCGTCTAAATTTATGAAAACCACTGTATATATATATATATATATATATATATATATATATATATATATATATATATATATATATATATATATATATATATATATATATATATATATATATATATATATATATATATATATATATATATATAGTAATAATATTACAATCATCAAACAAAATGGATAAAAAGCATTTTTTTTTATTAAAAAAAAATCAAAACTGTCACTTACTTTTAGTTTTACAAATAAAATCAAAACTATTATTGCAATCATTGTCATTCCAACCATCAGTTGATATTTCCACACAGTTCTCTATTCCGCCATTATTATTTGGTTCATTGTTACTCCAATTTAAAAACAACAAAGGTGTATTATCTGACCACACATACTTTCTCGGAAGTGCTTTTAGACCTTTTTAATAATAATCAAACTAATATTAAACCTCAAAAAATGAAACAAAAACATATAATTAATCTTACTTATAGTAAATATAAATTATAAAAAAATATTCTTTAAATACCAATCCAGAGATGATTTGCATCGCCATTTTTAAGGAAGTCTAAAATAAATAAATTTTCGTTTTCATCTTCTATATTTAATAACTTTCCTTCATATTTTTGACATGATAAAACAGCATTCTTCCAAGTTTTCTTAGGTGCACTACTAAAAAAGTAGCAATGATTTTTATAATCATACCAACCAATAGGACAGTCACTAGTAGAAATAACTAAAAATAAAAAAAAAAATAAAAAAAACTATAGTTCAATACAATTTGTCAAGATGTTCAACTCTGTTTCCCTCTAACAAAATACCCTTTATTATTTTTACTTAGAGTTATTATTATTAAGCTTTTACTAGGTAAATTTTTTTTTCTTTAAAATATATAGGAAAAATTAATAAAAGTTAATTTTAATCAAAATTTATATCAAATTTTTCTACTATGTAAAAAATTAGACTAAAACCTAATTTTTACTTAAAATATAGTTTCTACTATAACACTGTAAAGAATTTAACAATTAAAACAAAATATTTTTGTCATGTATTAAAAAAAACATTTATATATTTATATAGTTATACAGGCCTCGGCAGGAGGGAAGCGTTTTAATAAGGGAAAGGAAAAATTAAAAAATTGAGACAAGTTTTAAAAGAATTGAAAACTTAAATACTATGCAAAGTTGTTCTATGAATACTTCATAGTGTAGGGTTCAAAAATTTTTGTTTATGAAGTTAATGTTTTCATGTAGTTCAAAATTTTTCATGTATTTCAAAATATCAAATATCAAAATATTTTAAAATGTATTTTTTCAATGTACCATTCAAGTGCCACTTTTACAATGAACTTGTCATGATAATGAATTGATACATAGAATATAATATAATTATATACACTAGATTAATGAATTAGTACATAGAACATTATATAATTAAATACACCAAATTAAATTTAAAAAGATTAAAATAAATTGAGAATAGTGGTAATTAAAAAAGTACATCGCTATCAAGTAGTAAGTTACTTGAAATTCAACACTAAAAAGTATGATTAGAATAAATCTAAAAAAAAAATTCTTATCTTAAAACACAAATACAAGAACAGTCATTAAACTTGTTATTTAAATGCGTTAATTAAATGTCAGGTCAGGTTTATCCTGCTACTGGTAACATGTAACCCAGTACAATCTGCTTCATGTCCTGCTGCATTGTAGGATACGCCTTTTTAGGCAAAGGCTAGGAGATGGTACCTACATAAAACACCCCCTGCCTTGACTAGCCTCGCACTTCTTCTTCATCTATCAGGCTGGCGCAGATGTATTTTTAATACATTGTTTCCAGTTTAGGATGTTGAATACTCAGTGTACTGAGTACTATCTATGTTTCGAGTGAAGTTCTTTAACAAATTTTAAAATGAATAAAGTAACATAACTATAAAACACAAAAAACCACAGTCAAATAGTCAACTTTCCAACTCAACCCAAATCATTTACCTTCTCTACTCGACTTATGTCTTGTTTCTGATCCTAGTCAGTGCTCAGTTTCTCCACATTCACCCTTAGTTGCCTCTGATCACAGTTTGATCTTTCTAAAACTATTATCTAACTATTCTTCATCATCAGACTCCCCCTATCATCGCATATCTTACAAGGACCTAAAAGCTGACAGGGACTCTTTCTGTAATTTTCTTTGTGATGGCCCTTTGGTAGAAATCTTTTGTCTTCCTATTGACAAATGTGCTTTTTACATAACTTTGTGGATTCAGGCTGGCATGGAATCCTTTATTCCCTCTTGACAATTCCAGGTCAAGCCTCATTCTTCTCCATGGTTTTCCTCACATTCTGCTGCTGCAATTGCCAATCGAAACCATTACTTCCATATCTATTAGCAAAACAATTCTCCAGAAAACAGAAGTTTGTTTATTACTGCTAGGAACCATCCTAAAAAAGTTTTATCTAACGCCAAAGCTCGCTATTCTCAGATCATGAAATCTCATATTTCATCTCAAAAATTAGCCTCTTGTGACTTCTGGAGAATCTTTAATAGTATCAATAATAAGGGCAAGTCTGTAACTTCACCTCTTTTGTATGGTTCAGACTTTGTCACCTCACCTAAAGACAAAGCTTGTTTGCTAAGAACTTTTCATCAATATTATCTCTTGATTCCACTAGTTGTGTTCTACCTGATATAGCCGTCAAACAGGTTGGTCTATTGCTCAATATCTGTATCACTCCAGCTACTGTATCTAAAGTGATTTCCTGCTTCTTCTACAGCTAAGCAGTGCTTATCAGTGCTAACAAGTGCTTATCAGAGTCTTGGAAAGCAGCATCTGTTATCCCTATTTTTAAAAATTCTGAAAAGCGATTTGATTTGTATAACTACCGCCCCATTAGTGTTTTTACTATCATAAGCAAGGTTTTAGAATCTTTAATTAACAAACACTTAATCTTTCATTTTGAATCTAATAACTTACTTTCTGATCATCAATATGGGTTTTGATCTCCTCGTTTCTGCTGATTTCCTGACAGTAGTAATCGATAGGTTTTATTGTGCATTAGATAAAGGTGGAGAGGTTAAGGCCATCGCTCTTGACATTTCTAAAGATTTTGATAAAGTTTGACATGCTGGTCTTCTCCATAAGCTTTTTTCTTACGGTGTATCTGGAAACATCTTTGAGATTATATGTACGGTGAGTAGTGCTGTTTATAATCATAAACAGCACTACTCAGCTAACTTTTATTACAATTAGAATTTATTACAACAGATTTCAAATAGTTATTATTTTAAATTTAATTTAAATAGAAAAAAAAAACGTTATTATTACCACGAAATGAATATATCTTATTAAACATTAATATAGAAAATGTGTATACATTAATATATATGTATGTTTATATTACTTTTATTTTAAATCAGTTGAAATTTACTGTTTCACGTTCTTTTAAATACATTTTTTAGCATTTGGCAAAATTTTTATATAACTTTTGCAAAATGCTAAAAATGTCTTTAAAAGAACGTGAAACTATATTTTATACGCTTTAAAGTGCATATATGTACTTTAAATAGATTATTTACATATTTGCTTAAACACATATAAATACAGAAAATATGTAAACGGGGCTCGGTGATAAGACAGTTTATGTCTTCTTCTTACTCAGGCCTAAAGTAGTAAGCTGTCTTAAACATTTTTTCAGACAAACTTTCGATTTTCATAATGATTCATTGCTTGATTTGGTATCGTGGCAATAAATCAAACTCTGCCTTTTACAAAATTTGACCTAAATTTATATTTGATAACAATCCACTATTAAAATAAAGGAAATATTTACTTGATTTAATTGAGGTAATATTAAATTATAAGGAAATAATTCTTAAATGGTTCTTTCCTTACCAGGAAACAATTGTTTAAACTATTTACTTGTAAGGAAATTATATTATTGATAATTGTCACACTTATTAAACTAATGGTACTTGTCTCACAGGTTGTTTTATTTTAAAACAACCCTTCAACCTAATTAGTTATTCAGTTAGAGTAATTTTCCTCCGACTGGCTCTCCAAACTTAGTATTAGTCAGATATCTTAGTTGACTTATCTAAATTTTTGAAGTCAATTATCTTTGTCAATATAAAAAATATTTGGTTTTTTCACAGTTGTTGTGTTTTCAGATAAATAAATATTTTTATTTTCTATGTAGGTATCACTAGAAATCCTTCTTAACCATTTTTTTAGAATTTTATTGCATTCTGGCAATAATTTATACCTTAAGAAATGTTGGTATATTCACGCTATGCATACATGGCTGTCAAGGAAGCCATGGCCTGCCCACTTTTTTTTTGCGAGGACTTTTTGTTTTAAAAATATAGGCAATTATTTTAGAAATTATGGATTTTTATTTTAGAAATTGAGGGGTTGACCCCCTCCACTTTAAAGGCCGTGTCGACACTATTACTATTTGAATCACGGTTTAAGTAGAAAATCACTACTTTGGTCTATAAAATGAAAACTGTACAAGTACCGATAAAATAATTATAACAAAAATTGTTGGTATTACATAGTAGAACAGTCATGTAACCGTTATTTTAAAAATAGTGAGCGAATTTCAAAGTAATCGGTAACGCTATTAACGCAAAAAACTGACAAAACTTCAACTAAAACTGCAATATATCCTACACCAGTCATCCAATCAGGCTGAAATTTTGTCCAGAGTTTGGTGCGACTATTGGCTACATTCGCACTAATTTTTATCAAATGTGTTTTTATTGGCGCACTATGAAGTCAAAATTTGACTTAATTTGAACATTCAAATTAAATTATTTTCCGCGGACAAAATTAAATGATTTCAAAATTTGCATCACAGGGTATTTTGATGTGTAAGCTAACTTTCCGTATAAGTGGCTTTCTTGGGACAGCTAGGTAGACATTATAATGATCCTTACTAACCGTGTATCGTTAATCCAGATATTCGACTTATGTATTGTTTCTGATCCTAGTCAGTGCTTAGTTTCTCCAAATTCAGTTACTTTTGATCACTCTAAAACTACTAACTCATTCTTCTTTAACTCATTCTTCTTTAACTCATTCTTCTTTAACTTATTCTTCTTTAACTCATTCTTCTTTAACTCATTCTTCTTTAAAATTTTTTTTTTTGAACAGCAATCCTTATTATATATTTCAAAGACAAATAATATTTACATGTCTCCAGTTTATTTAAATGTCCACCACTCAGTGTTTTAATATCAAAAGAGCGTTTACAATGCTTAAACATTTAATGAAGGATATAAAAATATTCTCTGAATAATAATAAAAATGAAAATTGTGCATGTGAAAATTAAAACAAAGCTGAGCAATGAATGCAAGATAATATAACACAGAAGTTTCTTGTAAACAGTAATAATATGAAAGTCAGCAGATAAATAAAATATTAATAAATATTGTAATAAGACTAACTAGATATTGTAATAAAACCAGATAATTTTAAGCCAAATGAGTGGTTAATGTTAAGATGACGTTTAACCGTGAGTTAAAATAATTAATAAAATAAATAAATTCATGGTTTATTATATAGATATTGTGGTTTATCCTCGTCTGGCTAATTCCCATAAAGAGGTCACATTTACCAAGACAAAGATGAGTTTAACTCATTAAAGAGCAGCATAACTTCGCTGACCAAGAGTAAGTGATTTTAAGAAGATTTCGCAGACCCCAAGAGTAAGTGATTTTATGAAGAACGAAGGAATTAGAGTGAAAGTTAGAAGAAGTCGAGTTATAAATATAGCATAGAGAAAGTGGACAGATATTGCACTAGATGTAAGAATGAGATATTTTAACCTATAAGTTTTTTACTTATGGTTTTTTATGGTTTATAATATCAAGCGCTGGCCCCATGCTAACCCATGCATTTAAAAAATATACGCACGTCCGACGTACCACAGGCCTACTAGGGACTTGCTTGTGGTTGTCGTTGAAAATATATATTTGTATATTACTATAATATTATGTAGTTGTAAGGAAACTCGCAGAGGACTAAGAGAAATCTTTTCATCGAGAACCATTAAGTTACAAAATAAACTAAAGGTTTAAAAAGTAAATTTATAAAATACACACTAACTTTTTGAGTTCTACTGTTCAATAATATTTTGCTATGTATAGTTTTCATGCTAACTATATTTATTCTTTTTTTTATGTTTTTTTTTCCTTTAATTTTCATTTATTTATTTTTATAATTTAAATCATTCTTATTACATTTTATTATATTAATTGTTCTTTTACATTTTATATATATCGATAAAATTAGTTTTGTTAATTATTAGATATTTTAGTTTTTTCTTCACGGCAATAAGGTTATCCAATTTAGTAAGTTCTAATATTTTGAGGTATTATTTTATTGTAAAAATACGGACCACGGTAAACAATTGAAAATTTCAAAAAAAAAATTTTAATGACTAATGTGAAGTTTTCTGTTCCTCGTGTGATATATCTGTTAGTGTTGGTTTGAATTTCCCTATAATCGTACCTCTTACAAATACCTTAAGACTGACTGGGCTCTTTCCGTAACTTTCATCGTGATAGCCCTTGGGTAGAAATATTTTGCTATTCTGCTGAAAAAAGTACAACTTGTGTAACTTCTTGGATTCAGGCTGGAATAGAATCTTTTATTCTCTTTCGACTATTCAATCTTCTCCATAGTTTTTCTCTCATTGTACTGCTGCAATTTCTAATCGTAATTACTTCCATACGTATCATCAAAATAGTTCTCCAGAAAGCAGACGTTACTATTGCAGTAACGTCTGCTTTCTCGAGACTTTCTTGTTATATTGAGGTGTTAGACAAAATCTTTGTAAAAAGATTTTGTCTAACGCCAAATCCCGTCACAAAATCTCGTATTTATCTCAAATTCTAACGCCAAATTCTCACGTCACAAAATCTCGTATTTATCTCAAAAAGTAGGCTACAGAAAGTTCTGGAGAATCTTTAACAGTATCTAAAATAAGAGCAAACCTTTTATTCCTTCTCTCTTGCATGGTTTAGATTTTGTTACCTCATCTAAAGACAAAGCTGAATTGTTTACTAAGAACTTTTTATCAAGCTTATCTCTTGATTCCATTAATCACACCATACATGATACAGCCGGCAAACAGGTTAGTCCATTGCCTGACTTTCGTACCACTAAGGCTATCGCTCTCGACATTTCTAAAACCTTTGATAAAGTTTGGCATGCTGGTTTTCTCCATAAGCTGTTTTCTTATGGTGTATCAGATATTATCAGGTAACACCTTTAAAATTATTCAATTCTTCCTTATCAATCGAAGTGTAAAAACTGTCCTCAATGGACAGTACTTTTATTAATTTCCTGTAACCTCGAGGTTCCTCAAGATTCTTTCCTTGTTCTTATTCAATTTTAATTTATATTGATAACTACTCAGAAAATGATTAGTTTTTGTCTTAAATAGAAGACAACACTTTCTTATTGCTCAGAAGAAGCATTTAAGATTCAAAAGGGTCTTTCTTCTGCTACAATATGAAGCACTCATTGGTGAACTTTAACTAAGATAAAAATCAATTTTTTCAGCCCAATGCTATTGTAATAATCTAAAACTTCCTTTGTCTATGAATGTTCATAAATAAATAATGTTAAATGATAATGTTCTAAAGAGCTAGCGTTTTTTGTACCATTCACTAAAAATGGTTCTCATTTTAAACTTCATTAATTTAAGTCTCATCCGTTAACTGCGATTTTTCCTAAGTGCTCTAAATATTCTTTTTCGTCTAGTTTTTTCCTCGAATATCAGTTTTTTTGGAATTATATCCCTTCATCTTGTTTTCCTGATTTATATAATTTGCAATCTCCTAAGTCGTCTGTTATTCATTATCTTGCTTTACAAACTTTATTTTTTCTCTTCCAATAACTTTCAACTCTAATAGAGGTTGCTTGCAGCCTTCTTAGAAGTAAAGATGTTAAAAAAACCCTAAAAAAAACTATAGATTTAATAGAACGCAAAGAGCTTTTAAAAACGCATTTGAAATTGCTTTAAGTATATTTTGTGTTTTCACAATTCAATTATAACTAATATTGAAAATTTTATTTCAATCAGGCTGTTTTTTATTGCAATCATTATATTTTGTCACTATATTTAATCACTGTTTTTTATTTAATCAGCTTTTTATAATAGTTTTATGACTGAAAGTGTAAATAAAAATTATAGCTATTATTCTTCAAACTATATTGATCAAGATGGACCGACTGGAATACAACTTTCTGCCTTTTGGAGAACAGTCTTAAAAAGTAAAAAATATTTTTTTCTCAAGACCCAAGGATTTTGTGATCGTGATACACATTGTGATACACAATCTGAAGTATCCATTAAATTCAATGATTGAAAATGCGCGCAAGTTTTAATTGGTAAAGATATTTTTGAAGTTATAAAACTGTAGTTATGTAACATCCAGGTAGTTTTACAAGTTTTAGGTTCACAAAATTCTTCGGTGCAGAGATGAAGTTTATTTTTTACTTTTTAGTCCATTTGAAAAACATTATTTTAAAAACTTTTTAAAATGTTTTTTTCAGAATGAGTAGGACACCATTGCGCAATGAAAAACGGAGGAGGCGATCAAGATTCTCCTTAGCGGAGGCTGCATAATGGTTTAACGCTTCGTCTGACAAAAAAGAATAAGTCCAATAAATAAACTGTATAAGTATACAAGGAGACTTAAAATATTAGAACAAGATGTTAGTATATCAACGAAGACTGCTAAAAAAAATTTACCGCGGCGCCTATTGCAGTTTGCCCTGTTTACCCCTTTTTGCATATATAATCTTATTTTAAATACAAAACATTTTCAACTTCTTTTACTTGATGGGTTTTTGCAATAAAATATAACTTTTTAAGTCAAAAAATTTTTTCTTGGCTATAATATTGATTTAACCCTAACCCTAACCCTGTCAAGAATACAATGATTTTTGCTTTGCCCTAAAATCACGTTCAAATCACTTAAAAGAATTCTACAAGGAATTCCTTCAGTTTTTAAATAATGCAGTATTATGGAACAAACTTTTTATAATGTAATCTTTTTATGTTATTATGTAATCTCTTTATGCGTTTTTTTTTTTACAATCTGGTATCCGGTAATCGGCCTAACGGTTTGCAATATTCAGCGAATACCGAATAGTTAACAAATATTCGTTCTCTACTTTAAATTATGATATTTACGTGGTATTTTAAAGCTATTTATATTATAATAAATTACAAATTGATTTTGTTGTTTTTTTTTTAGTAAATTTTGTTGTTGTTTTTTTTTAGATTTTTTTTAGACAGATTTGCAACTCAAAAAAAAACTTTTACTATAATATAAAAATAAAAACACCCAAAATGAAAAAATAAAAAATATAAAAAAAATCTAATTTTAAAAAAATTACTTACTGTTCAAAATTGAGAACATGGAGGTGAATACAATAAACTCTGAAATCCTCATCCTGAAAAAGATGTTATATAAGAAGACAGTTAAAAGCTGTTGAAATTAATATCTTTAGAATGCTAAAATTCAATTTTTTAAAAATCTGTTGGTGTTAAATAACTACCTGGATGTTACATAACTACTTTGATGTTAAATAACTACCTTGATGGTTTTAGACTACTTCTCACACATTGCATTGTATATATATACATTTCTCACATTGTGAAATATATATATATATATATATATATATATATATATATATATATATATATATATATATATATATATATATATATATACATATATATACATATATATACATATATATACATATATATACATATATATACATATATATATATATATATATATATATATATATATATATATATATATATATATATATATATATATATATATATATATATGTATATATATATATAAATATATATATATATATATATATATATATATATATATATATATATATATATATATATAATATATATATATATATATATATATATATATATATATATATATATATATATATAAAAGCAAATATAACCCCTGGTGACAAAAATTTGGCGCAATCTTTGAGAAGCTAAAACTTATTGAATTTTTAGTTATCCAGTTTTACTTTTTTAATTGTTTTGTTTATAAAGTGTTAGTTATCTTTTACTGAAAGTTTTGTTTACTTAGAATAATTAACAAAAAAGTTATCAAAAAATGAAGCCAACTAAATTAATTGAACAAGTGTACAACTATTGTAATTTGCATCCTAACGCTAAAACAAAGAGCATCGTAGAGTATTTTGTTGCTTCTTATCACCCCGAAAAAACCATCAAACGTTATATGGCAAAGTGGAAAACAATAAGCGAAAGTCTCATAAGCCTGGATCAGACAGAAAACCAAAAATTATAACTGATAGGAACATCAATTGCCTGAAAGGTCTTTTGAACAACCAGTCTAAAACTTCAACAAAAAAAATTGCAAATAAAGTCACGTGTGATCGTTTCTCTATTTAAAAACTTTAAAAAACAAAACAGATATTTGTTATTTTATTAAAAAATAACTCCCTGATCGCACTGATAAACAGTTGCAACTGAAGTGTGGAAGTGTCACGATTTCTGAATTTGTTAAATTCAGAACCCGTGGCTATGTCATTGACGATGAGTCTTATTTTACATTTAAACGTAAAACGAGTCTTATTTTACATTTAAACGTAAAAATTCTAATGCTGGATTTTACTCAAATGAAGCAAAAAATGCACCAAAAAATTAAAACATAAGCGCAAAAACAAATTTGAAAAAAAATATTCTTGTGTGGATTACCATTTCTTCACGTGGATTCTCAAAACCATTTATTGTTCCTGGAAGACTAGCGATTAACCAAACAGTGTACAAAAATGATTGCATCATCATACAACTGGATCCTTTTATCAACAAACATCGCAGTGGTGGTAATTAGTATTCTGGCCTGACTTGGCCTTTTCACATTATGCTAGAAGTGTGAAAAATTACATCGATGAGAAAAATAAATGTTTTGCAACAAAAGTTGATAATCCGGCATATGTCCCAGAATTACGACCAATAGAAGATTTCTGGTCAATCCTTAAATACTACGTGTATGAAAACAATTGGGAAGCTCAAAACGAAAATCAGTTGCGAAAAAGAATTCATTCTTGTTAAAGAAAAATTTATAAAAATCTTGTACAAAGCATGTGCGAACATGTATGCAAAAAAGTTGACGTAGTACATCGTAATAGCGAGAAAGCATTATTTCAGTCCAGAAAGTAAAAAACTAATATATTGCCTTACATTTTGTACTAATTTTTTGTTCATTAAACCTTTTGTTGTATTATTACTGCTTGTGTTTATTTTGTGCTAAATATTTGTCACCAGGGGTTATATAAACAAATATATATAAACATATATAAAACCATAAAAATGGCATGACAAATAACATAAAAGATAAAAAGAATAAAAAAATTATCCTTAAAAAACAAATTAGATCTAAAGGTTTTTTCTTTTTAGCTTTGTATGTAAATTATTAAAATTCATTTTATCTTTAAAGTAAAGTTAAAAATAGGAAAGAGTAAAAGATTTAGAAGCATGTATTATTAACGTTGAATCAGTGCAAACACTGACTTTTCAAATGTTTTTAAAAATTTATATACAACAAATGTACAAAACATTTGGTGTATCAATAATTTTTACCTGCCAAATATAAATTATATTTGGCAGGTAAAAACTATTGAGGGGTGACAATTACGTTGGTCAAAAATTTTACTGATTATTATAAATATTAAATTGTAAAAATGTTGCATTTTTCAAATCACGCTAAAAATGCTTTTTTTAATGCAAGTTGTCAGTTTTTTACTAGAAAATTAAATGACCATCATCATCATCATCATCATCATCATCATCATCATCATCATCATCATCATCATCATCATCATCATCATCATCATCATCATCATCATCATCATCAAACTCAACAATAATAAATCAGTATTATGTTTTCAGTATATACTTGCATTACAATGCATTGCAAGTGCAATAGATATTTTCAAATTTTGGTTTTATTACTGTTTTGTTTATTTTTTTAATAGCTAATTAATTCTTCACATAAAAGTCTGATAAGAGAGAGACCTGGTGACTGGGGAGGCCAAATCATTCTATTCAATATATGATCATTTTCTTACTCTGTCAAATAACTTATACATGGTTTTGAATTTATAATTTTTGTAGTTTTATTCTAAAACAAATGCATGAATTTCCATTAAACGAACTTTCCAAAGGTATAACATGACTTTTTTGAAAATATCTATCACTACCAAAAATTACAGAAAATATGTTATATATTTCTTTCGCACCTATGCATAATATTTGTAAACAGTAAAATTATACATACTATACTGAAAATGATATATTAGTATAAAAGGATTCATATTTACACCCCATAACTATATATTTTTAAAAATATAAACAAACAGAGATTATGTCTCTTTTTTTTAAAAAAATGAAATACTAATGTAGGATATACAAAGATCACGTGACTTTTGCGAATTTTTTGTTTTTTTAAAAGTTAATATCTTATCAAGACTTAAAACTACTAGTTGTTCATTCTGTAAATTACTAGTTGTTCATTCTGTAAAAAAAAGATAAAAATAAAGTCACTTAAAAACTTAAAGCACTTAAAAATATTTAAGATATCCAAAATTATCAACAAATTAGCCAGGACCACAAAAATTTAACTAAATATAATACCACAAAAAACAATTTCGTACCATAAAAGCCATCAAACTTGCATTCCAAAACTATGTATTATTTAAAAGATAAACTCATAGTAATTATAAATCTTTAAATAAAACTTAAAATAAATGCGTTAGCAGACATTATAATCACGTGAATTTTGCAAAAAAAATTTTTTTTAATCAAAATCAAACACTCTAAAAAAAATGCCAACTTAGGGGTCATTTACAAACAATATATATATATATATATATATATATATATATATATATATATATATATATATATATATATATATATATATATATATATATATATATATATATATATATATATATATATATATATATATATATATATATATATATATGTATATATATATATAAATTTTTCCTATAACATTTCAATACTGAAATTTCTGCTGCTGCCGTAACTCATTCGTGCGAGTTTGCAATGAACTCACGGCAGCCATTATACCCAAGTTAATGGCGAAAAAAAAGTCGCTACATTTTTTTTAATATGAAAATGTAAACGAAAGTGTATGCAAATATCCAATTTGTGTTAACTTCAAATTATGTAATGTTAAAACATCAAGTTTTACAGTTTTACTTTTACTTGAGAATCGCATTGTGGCGACATCTCCTAAATTTTGATAACAAGAATTTATTTGCCGTTTTTTAAAGTCTTTTATTTATTAATTTAAATTATTTATTAATTAAAACATTTATGAAGTTAAACTCCTTAGTGGTCGAAGTGGTTAGTTTGCAGCTTTTTTGAAGTGAGTTGCCGTGGTTCAATTTCTAACGCTTCCATTTTTTTTTAATTTTTTGATTTTAAAAAATACAAAATAAAACATTTTTAAACTTCTATAGATATTTTTACTTTTATTTGAAAATTACGTTGCGGAAAAGTCTCATTAATTTTGATTTAAAGCTTTTATTTGCCGTTTTATAAAGATATTCCGTCTTTTTTTCTTAAATAGTGTTAAAAATTGGCAGATTAGTGTTTCTTAGTTGCTGAAGTGATTAGCTCGCTGCGTTTCCGAAGTACAACGCGAGGGTTTAAATCCTGTCGTCTGTACATTTATTTATTTATTTGAACCATTTTTTTTTTATAAAATTTTTTTATTAGAAGATTTTACGATAAAAAGTGTTGAAAATTGCTGAAAATAAAAACTTGACAGATTTTTATTTAATAAAATACTTTATAAAATATACTGAAATGAAACAACTATTTACAAAATATGTATAGAAATGGTATAGAACTATTTTAAAAAAGTGTATAAAAATGGTCGGCGTAGAATAAAACTAATCAAGAACCGTATTTTACTGGTGTTAATTTTACGGGTCCGAAACGCTAGTATAGATATAAGATTTCTGATGAAATTTTATTATTGAAAAACTGTGTAAATTAAAAATATTTGAGAAAAAAAAAAGATTTTCTACTAATTTACAATTGCTTTGTTCTTCTTAGAACATTGAGCATCCAATTTTGTGGAAAACATTTAAGGTGCAATCGAGACAAACTAAAGGTAAGGTTAGGGTTAGGGTTACCATTTTCACCATTGAATGTCATACATAAATTAGGCATGAATAAAAGAGGTCGCAAAAGTTGATATAGATGTAAACTTAGTTTTTATAAAAAAACAAGAATTACGTAAATATATTGAATATATGATCATTCTCTAACTCTTTTACGCCACGGTAAATTCTTGAATAACCGGTAGAACAGAAAAACATGAAAAATTATAAATAAGTCTTTTTAATAAATAAGCCACAATTACTTATCATATATTACATTTATATAAACATAAAATATATCGTTAGAAAGATAATTTTTTTTTTTATATAGATTAATAACCAGATTTTCCACATATTTTT